GGGAGGCTGAGGTAGGGGGATCATTTGAGCCCAGAAGTTCAAGGATACACTGAGCTAAAATCATGCCACTGGACTCCAGCCGGGGCAACTTACCACTTTTCTTTCTTCTTTTTTCTTTCTTCTCCTCTTCCTCCTCCTCCTCCTTCTTTCTTCTTTCTTCTTCTTTAGAAATGAGGTCTCCCTAGGTTGCCCAGGATGGTCTCAAGCTCCTGGGCTCAAGTGATCCTCCATGTTGGCCTCCCAAAGTGCTTGGATGACAGGTGTGGGTCACTGCGCCTGGCCATGAGTCCTTTTCTGCAGAGGCAACCACTTTCAACTCATTCAGCAGTTTTTCATGATATTTACTGCCTGATTTTAAGCAAAGTGCTTATTATATTATTTCTTGATATTTCCATTTAAAATGTACATACTGACTTTTGAAACTTCGTCTCACCAAGCCTCTCAAGAAAGATATATCACAATTTTTAGTTACATCAACACTGGTGTATTCATTGGTATAATTATATTTTTGTATGTATTTTGTTATGTATCTATCTTTTGCCTAAGTTAATAATTGTCTGGTTTTTCATTTGCAGAGTTTTCTGTGTACCTATTCTAAATATTTCCCCACAGGTTTCTATCATTTCTTATATACTTATCGGTATTTCTTTCAAAATACTTAAGTACTTCACATGCTCTATTAGTTCAGTTTTTACCCAAGTCTTTCTCCTTTCCAAAGTCTTCTACTTTTCTGCTCCAATTTGGACTTACCTCAGCCATCATCCGGGACTCCCATTTTTACTGTCCTGTATTGGGCCTTCTGATTTCTGAACTCGGTGTTCTTTGTCTTTGTGGTTTATTTTATTTTTATTTATTTATTTATTTTGAGACAGAGTCGCCCAGTCTGGAGTACAGTGGTATGATCTTGGCTCACTGCAACCTCTGCCTCCTGGGTTGAAGTAATTCTTGTGCCTCAGCTTCCTGAGTAGCTGGGCTTACAGGTGTGTACCTGGCTAATTTTGTATTTTTAGTAGAGACGAGATTTCACCAAGTTGGCCAGGCTGGTCTCGAACTCTTGAACTCAGGTGATCCACCCGCCTCAGCCTCTCAAAGTGCTGGGATTACAAGCATGAGCCACTGTGCTCGGCCTGTCTGTGATTTATTTTCTCATTTTGCTCAAGCATGTTCTTTGGAAGTTTCATAAGAATGGACTCAGAGGAGGTACATGTTTGGATCGCTTGCATGTTGAAAACATCTTTATTTTGGCCTCATACGTGGTTAGAAGTTGGGACTGTATAGACTTCTCATGGAATTGTCATAGTAGCACTTCATTGCCCCAAGCTTCTAGTTAGGAAATCTGATGTCATTCTAATTCACAGTCTTTTGGATGCAAAATTTTTTCTTTTAGTAAGTTGTTAGGATCCCGTTTTTATTCCTAGTATTCTGAATGCCATAATGATATACCTTTTATAATTCTCTGTGCTGGACACCCAATGAGCTCTTTCAATGTGCAGATTTATGTTTCTTGGTTCTAAGAAAGTTCTTGATTTATTTCTTTGATAATTCCGTGTCTTAACTTTTCTCTGTTTTCTCTTTCTGAAAACTCTTAGTTAGACACTGATGTTCGTGGGTTCATCCTCTGTCTCTCATATTTTCTCACCATTTTTTCATCTCCTTATCTTTTGTTTTACTTCCAAAGACTTTCTTTCTTTCTTTTTTGGGCTGAGCACAGGGGACTTTGTTGATGGTATACCACAAAGCAGGGCTCCCCAGCCCTTCCCTCTCCAGGGGTCTGTGTGGAATCTGAGGAGGGGGGATTCTCAGTGTGATGGGGGACGGAGTGCAGCAGGGTCTCCCCAGCAGCTGAGGGCCTCTCCCATCCTCTCTGCTCTGACTGGTGATGCAGGAGTCTTACTCCTTGGAGGCCATGTGGAACTTGACCTGGTTCATACTAGAACATGCTCATAGTGGAACATGTAGGCCATGTCTTTGTGGTCAATGAAGCGGTCATGGTTGGTGACAGTATCCACTTTGCCAGAGTTAAAAGGAGCCCTGGTAACCAGGGCCCCACTATGGCCCCATCTGTTTATTCTGGTCTTCGCCTTCACCCTGGTGTCTGAGGGATGCAGCCAGAGCTGCATGAGAAGATGCAGCTGTCTGTCGAATCAGAGGGGCAGAGGGCTGTCTTTCCTGATTTAACTATCAACCTTTTTTTTTTTTTTCAGAAAAATTTATTTTGGCTATCATTTTCACTTTCCAAGAACTTTTTCTTATTTTCTAATTTTTTTTTTGTAGTACCCCGTTCCTTTTTTATGGATGCTTTATCTTCTTTTCCATTGAGAATGTTAAAGCTTTTTTGTTTTTCTTCAGTTTTCTGCATTGTTTCTGTATCTTCAGGGTTCCTTTATTCCCTCTGTTTCAGGGTTGGTCTCTCATGTTGGAGACTTGCCTCAAGTGTCTGGAGGTTCTCAGGTATCTGTTCACAATGAAGCATAAGACAGACAAAGGCTGATGGGCGGCGCTCGTGCATGCTCAGGGCTTGCTGACCTGTGAGGCTTCTTTGAATGGTGAGCGATGGCCAACTGGCAGCATGTAGAGTTTCTTTTTCTAGGGCTATTCAATTTCTCAAGGAAGACCCCAATCCTCTACATAACTGTCAGCCTTCTGGAAGCAGGGCAGGCAAGGCTGGGGTGGTGGTAAGGACTGAGTTTCAACTGCTCAATGTCTACAATTTTCCTTAATTCTCCTCTTTGCAGCTTCTCCCCTTGCCCCATTTTCCACCTTTCTGGGTGTTCAGGGTCTGCTGAAAGGCCCTGTCTAGTTTTTCCAGAGAAAACTCCCTAACTAGAATCCTCGTTCTGCCCTTGCCTCCCCTATAGTCTATTTTTAGCAAAAAGCTGGAGCAATCCTGTTAAAATGTGGGTTACATCAGGTCACACCTAGGCTTATCATTCTCAAAAGCTTTTCCATCTCAACAGAGTTATACCCGAAAGTCATCACAAGGGTCTAGAAGGCCTTCTGCCCGGCATACTTGCACCTCAGATTGTTTGTCCTCTGACTCTCCCATTCTAGCGCACTCCATTTGGCCACGCTGGCTGCTTTACTGGACACATCCAGAGGCTCCTACCTCAAGGACTTAGCACTTGCTCTTCCTTCTAGCCAGAATGCTCATGACAGATATTCACACGACCTTCTCCCCCTCCTCCTTCAGATCCTTACTCAAGTGTCCCTTCTCAGCAATGCCTTCCCTAGCTACCCTAAGATGGCAACCCCCACGCTCTGACACACACTTTACCCCCCCACCCCCTGCCCATTTGCTTTAGTTTTCCTCTAAGGATGATCCCTATTGGATATACAATCATATACATGCCTCATGAAGGCAGGAATTCATGACCCCCCTCACCAGAGTTTAGAATAGGGCCTGGTACATGATAGGCATTTAACAAATATATATTGAAAAAAATAAGAATGAATAAATGAAATGTTCCTTAAGTACTCTGGTTCCTTGTTAGTGAAAAAGCAGTAAGACAGGATAATGGCTTTTATTGTCCTTTTTTTTTTTCTTTCTTTTTTTTTTTTTTTTTTTTTTTTTTTTTTTTTTTTTTTTTTTTTTTTTTTTTAATGAAATGAGGTTGCTAATGTTTCTGAGGAAGATTTCATTGGGCCTATTCCATCATTAAAGGCAGGTCATTAAGATCTCTTTGCTAGGCAAATAAGTAACCTCAGGCTGTTAATTTGGATTTTATGAACGAATTAGAATTAGATTTAGAAATTAGCATGTTAACTTGCAAATGTTAAGAAACAATAAATTGAAGAACATTAGTTCTATAATCACTGATATCACTAATTGCTTTTAATGTTTAAAATGATGCCATTAGGGCTAAATGGGAAGACATTTTCCCTATAGAACCCAACCAGTTAATCCTGTTTCGAGGAATCTTCTTGGTATTCAAACTAACAATCCAATTGAAGTGTTCCATCAGAAACACCCATAATTATTTCAGCTCAAGAGAGGATGCATTAAGGCTACTCATAATATATATTACTATACTTGAAAATTACTTTTTAATGCCTTCTAAATGAGTATTTGTACTTTCAGGTGGGTATTTCATAATTATCTTCTCATTTATGCAAATTAAAACATTTACTAAGCAAAGCATGATGTTTTCCAGCTCCAATACATACTGAGAGATAATAATCATCCCTCCAGTCATCTGAGACTGACTGTCATTAGCACTCACTATAGTCATGGTCACGAGACTGCCTGCCGTCTGGTAACATCTTCTCCCTCAGTGTATAATGAAAAAGTTACTGTGGTGTCAGGAAAAACAAAATGAAAGCATTAACCTGCCTTCAGTTTATCAAGCTTAAAGCTTATTTGAACTAAATTTAACAGAGTAACTCTGCTGAATTTGAATTCAACTTTAATGGAATACAAAGTATTCCATGTTCTGTTTCTCTAAAATAAAGGGATAATTTAAACATCATGGAACCACCTGATTGGCTGTTTAAAAATGTAGTTGTTTTAGTTTTAAACATGTCAATACAATGGACAGTAATGTCATTATATTTCTTCTCTCTAAAGCTCTAGAGCATTAAAAGAAAAATGCAATCTATGATTTTGCCGTGTCTCTAAGACCATTCTGAGGGAATGGTAAAGACCGAGGCTGAACTACTTAATTCTTTCCACTTGACCTGCCCAGTAACACACCAAGAGTTCTTTTTCCTTTTCTTTCTTTTTTTTTTGAGACTGAGTCTCGCTCTGTTGCCCAGGCTGGAGTGTAGTAGTGGGACCTCAGCTCACTGCAATGTCCGCCTCCCAGGTTCAAGCAACTTTTCTGCCTCAGCCTCTCAAATAGCTGGGATTACAGGCATGCGCCACCACGCCTGGATAAGTTTTTTTGTATTTTTTAAGTAGAGACGGGGTTTCACCATATTGGCCAGGCTGGTCTAAAACTCCTGACCTTGTGATCTGCCTGCCTCGGCCTCCCAAAGTGCTGGGATTACAGGCGTGAGCCACCACGCCCGGCCTGAGTTCTTTCTACTTTTCTTAAGGTTGAATTTGCATTTTCAAATCTGTTTATGAAATCTTCCATGGAGCTTCATTTAAAATGACATTTCTTTGCCTCCTCTGCATCAGCAGGATGAGCAGCCATCATTAATTCTGGTCATGCATGCTGGCGATGGAGAGGGCAGGAGTGGCCACAGGAACCAACTCCTTCCACTTGTGATGCTCTCCTTTTCAAAGGATTGCAGGATCTTAAAAGACTTACTGCTCTCCCTATGCCAATCACAATTAATCATCCTTCGATGATCCAGAAAGCATATCATAATCTTACGGGGGCTGTGACTTGAGTTTTGCAATTGATATCTGGAGACCTCTCTGCAGGTTGGGCTGACGGGAGAGTGGAGAGTGGGAGAAGCATTTCTTGGAGAACAGGCAAGGATGAGAGGAGCAAGAGAGAAAAAATGCAAAAGAGAAAATTTCACTTTAAAAACATGCATTACTTAGATGGAAGGCTAATATGACATCCTAAAAATTCTTGAACTCTGTGCAAATCATTGGGAAAATTGACAGAATGATGGCTGGCCTGTCACAGTGTTCCTAGTCATTACATAGTTTGGGCCAGTTACTTAAATGAAAAAAGTGGGGCAAGTTGTGAGTTGTACAGCGTTTAGGAGTGAGTAGCTGTGGGCAGGCGGAGGGGAAACATATAACCTGAAAACACTCTACCTGTCTTTCTGGCTCTCAGCATTTCAAGTATGTCAGCAGCAGCCATTTCTCTTAGGACGTTGTTTCCAAGGTCAATTTCCCTCAAGTGGGCAGAGTATTTGATCAGGCTGTTGAAAGAAAATCACACACACACACACACACACACACACACACACACACACACACATCATGTCAAGCATTGTTATTTAAAGAACCTCAATCCAGTTACTTTGGAGAATGAGCTCTTTTTAAACCCCTCCCCCAACCCCAAACCCACCCAGTGTGAGACCAGAGACATGCTGAAACCAATTTTACCGATCGAATTTCTCCAGTTTGGATACTTCTTCTAGGTAAGTTGATAGAGTAAGGATTTTTGGTTACTTTAAATCCTTCATTTGTTTATTTACTCAAAAGATATGGTATGATGTGATGCACGACTTCCTAGTTTAGATATCACATATACCAGCAAATGTCCAGAAGTTTAGAGTGACAGACACAAGTTTGGCAATTTTTAGTATGCCAAGAAATGACAACTATCAACACTGTAAACAAACAAACATTTTTACATCAAATCAGGAAGGGCATAGTCTGAAAATAGAAGATAGCTCTTTAAATCAAATAACTTCAGTTTTATGAAAAGTAAACTGTACTGTTGTTATGTTGTAATTTCTTTGAGGACTATTGAAGTTTTTTTTTTTTTTTTTTTTTGAGACAGGATCTCGCTGTGTCATGCAGGCTGGAGTGCAGTGGCATAATCCTGGCTCACTGCAAACTCCATCTCCCGGGTTCAAGCAATTCTTGTGCCTCAGTCTCCCAAGTAGCTGGAATTACAGGCATGTGCCACCCGGGAAATTTCTTTAGGTGCAGGTCTTGCACTGGACTGCTGACTGGTCTTTGGGACTCTCTGGCATCATGAGTGGATAAGAAATCTGGGCAGAGGCCTGGACTCCTGGTCAGCTTCAATCCCTTGCCAAATCAGGTGTCAAATCATGTGATCATAGCAGGCTACGGGCCCTCATCTCCCTCATCTGCAAAACTGGCCTGAAAAAGGCCGTTCTGCCTTTCATAAGGTTGTAGTGAAAACAGAATGAAGCCGTTACTGTGAAAGCATTTTGCAAATGCAATGCCGATGATGGTCTATTTAGTGCATACTTATTACAAGCACGTTATGTACCTGGCACTGCAGGGATTAAGAGAAATTTAACACATGGCCTCTGCTCTGAAAGAAGTTATTTGACTATCAAGAAAACAATGTCAAGCCCTTACCAGGGGCTGCGGGTATGAAATTTCAGTTAGGGTCCACACTGAGTAGGAGGCTACTTTCTTGCTCATTGTATATATTTTCCACCGATTCAGCAGCTGGAATGCAAGGCCCGAGCTGAATGGTCCTGCCAGACTCTCTCTCTCAAAGGTCTTGCTGTTGAGGCAACAGTCTGCCTAGTCAGGATTTGACAAGCCTTGGCTTCCTGAACTGCCCGGTTGTGTGCCGTGTCTTCAGACAAAATGCGTGGACAACAGGGAAGCTTCAAGGCAGAACAGAGGGTCCACAGAAGGAGGGCAGGAAGTGAGGAGGACAAACTTCATAACTCAACAATTCTGCATCTAGGTCGACTCCACAGGCCGTGGAGTTCAGCACTACACCGTGCAGCCTCATGTGAGCTAAGGTCCGATGCGGCATTCATGACACGCCGGCTGCGGCCAGGCCCACCCACATGGTTAAGTGCTTGTGCCCTGCACAAAGGGGCCTTCCAAGAGGATGAGTGGGGCTGAAATCTAGCAGAGTTCTTCTGCTTGCCAAAGGCTGGGCCCCAAAGCGTGGATCTGGAAGGGGAATTTCCTCTGATTCATCGGCCAGCGGTGGTGCGTTCTTAATTCATCTGTGCAGAGGGACTTCTAATTTGTAGGAGGGTGCTAGCTGGAGCCCTGGCCGCTATATTTAGCACCCTACATACGTGACCTCATTTAACCCTGCAACAGTCTCTTGTGTTAGACACTATTATTATCCCCATTTTTACAAATGAGGAAATCTAGGTAAAGATAAGTGATTTAACCTTGGCATGGTGGTGGGCACCTATAATCCCAGGCACTCAGGAGGCTGAGACAGGAGAATCACTTGAACCCAGAAGGCAGAGATGCAGTGAGCCAAGGTGATGCCTCTGCACTCCAGCCTGGGCAACAGAACAAGTCTCTGCCATTAAAAAAAAAAGAAAAGAAAAGAAATTAGCTGGGTGTGGTGGCACATGCCTGTAATCCCAGCTACTCGGGAGGCTGATGCAGTGGAATTGCTTGAACTTGGGTACCAAGTACCAAGCACTTGCCACATCAGGTACCAAGACCAAGCTGGGTCACTGCTTGACTCTCAGAGCTGAAAAACCTCACTGGAAACTGCTTAAAAGCTACAGGTAAATAATTATTCCCACAATTTAATTCAAGCACTTAGTTTTGGAAGGTGAACAAATAAAGTCTCTTAACTCGCTACTTACCATGTTAAAGTTTGAATGAATTGCAACAAACCATTTTCTCTTCTTTTCCTTTTCCGTCTATGCCATTGTCTGCCAAATGCAACTTCACTAAGCAAGGACCGGCTTCCATCAGACCTTCAATTTTCTTCTTGATTCCTATAAGAAAAATCGGAGCATTTTCTTATCTTTAGGCAATAGTTCCCCTGTTTATCACCAGCTAAGCTGACTTTATTCTTTTAGATTGTACTTTACTGGACTTGTGTGAGTAGATGCATTTTGCAATATAGTCAAGGAAACACTGTATATATAATTTTTTTTTTCACAAATAAGGCTTTTTATTTGCCACTATTATAAGTCTGAACTTTAAACAGATTCTTGGACTGGTGGTTCATATCCATCAGCTCGTTCAACATTAGCACCTGTCTCATCCCCAGTGGCTTTTCCAGAACTACTGCCTTCACCATGAAGCTCCATGAGTTTTCCCAATTCAAACTTGGGCTCCTTCAGCATTTTTACTTTTCTAACGAAGACATCATGGAGAGGATAAATAGATTGGCAAGCCTTTTCTATGTCTTTTCCAATGCTGTCTGGAATCAGTTTATTGACCACTTCTTTCAAGTCATTTGCCTGCACCTCTCGGGTCATGATTTCCATCATCTTCTTCCGGATTTGGCGGACCTGTTGGTGCTGAGCATAAGAGGTCTTCCGTATCTGATTGATGGGTTTTTTGGTAAAACCAACACAGAACAGACGAAGCAAGCAATCATCGGTAGTCTTGACATCAACATGAGTTTCAATCATTGTCTGCCATTTTTTGACCATGGAACACATATTGTCACGGGTAAGATCCATGCCATGGAAGTTAGTCAGGCAGTTTTTGCCCTGAACATCTTCAGTAATCAGCTTGAATTTCCTAAATGCAACTTCATCATTCTGCAAATCAGCAAGACTAACTTCAAACACTTGGCCCTTGAGGCCATCAGATGCAATTTTGGTTCCTTGGGTCCTGGTGACTACCGTCTTTCCCATATTTCTTATACCGAACGTAGCGGGTGCTTTCACATCATACCAATCTTTCTTAGAAAATGGATCAACCACTTTCTTCTTGGCTCCCTTTGTGCCACCTTTCGTAAGGCTCTTGTTCTTGCCAACCGCCATGGTGCTGCTCAGAGAGCCAAAAGGTGTATATATAACTTTTTAAGTCCTTGTTTTATACTCAGTACATCCTTCCTTCTTTAGAACAAGAAGCCCAAAATTACTCTGCATGAAAGGAAATTCCATCTAAGATTCAGATTGTTGCCTTTACTTTGAAGAGGAAAACTGATGTCTCCAGAAATTTCCTGAAGGAAGATGAATGAGTTGCCCACTGATCTAGGGGAAGTGATAGTTTTTATGAAGCAATTCAGCCCTTTAAAGGAGCCTGAAAAGCTGTTACCCTTTTGAGCTCTAAAAGGGAAAATCTGAAGGAGAAAGGACCATCCTGCCTTTGTAGAATTCATGACTGGGGTCAGATCCTGGGGTTGGTTCACGCTTGTCAGTCTACACAGCTGTTGTAAAGAGTCTATTGTCAATCCTGGGGAACAGCATCAGGTCCACATTTAATTTATGTCAGTTCAAGTTTAGGAGATTGGCAAAGAAAAATACAGGGGGGATGGATGGAAGAGAAATAATCATGGGCATAATGCGGGCTCATCCACTCAGTAAGTATAAGACGGGAAGTCGGAATCTGCAGTCCCAAATTCAAATATTTTCTGGGGGCCTACAAGTGTTTAAAGTTATATGCACCCCCTAAACACTAACCAACTACTTCATCTGGACCCAACTGAAGAAAGACCAAGTGATCTGTTCCAAAACTGGGGAAGAAACTGTGTGGAGACATAGAGATAATATGCCTAGATATTATAACGCGTAGGTAATCTGTGGAATTTTAAAGAATCATTTAACTCTACACTAATTTTGTCCACCATGCTGACTTGAGAGCCTAACCCTGGGGATAGACAAGACTTGAATTCCTTCAGCATTTACCAAATATTTTCAACCTCCTGTTATGTGTCAGGCAGTGGTGTAGGTGCCAGAGATCGAGCAGAGAACAAAAGAGACAAAAATCCCTGCCCTTCTAAAGCTGACATTAAGTGAATGTTAACTAGCATGGTTAGAGCAAGGAAGAGAGCAGCATCAAGGAGAATCAAGCGTTAAGTTTTCAAGCCTGGAGGGAAAACTTACTTTTCAGGAAAAGGAGATAAATGTGGACATCAGGCCTTCCTAGGTTGCCAGTTGGGGAAAAAGAGTGGAAAGTATGCTTTAAAAAAAAGGATTTGGTTGGTTTCTTTAGACATGAATCTAATCTGCTGGATTGTTGGATGAAATAGACAGGATTGGCTGGGTGTGGTGGCCCACGCCTGTAATCCCAGCACTTTGGGAGGCCGAGGTGGGCAGATGACTTGAGGTCGGGAGTTCGAGACCAGCCTGGCCAACATGGTGAAACCCACCTCTACTAAAAATACAAAAATTAGCCGGGTGTTATGGCTACTTGGGAGCCTGTAGTCCCAGCTGCTTGGGAGACTGAGGCAGGAGAATAGCTTGAACCCAGAGGTAAATGTTGCAATGAGCCGAGATCACGCCAGTGCACAGTCTAGGTGACAGAGCAAGACTCTGTCTCAAAAAAAAAAAAAAAAAAAAAAAAAACAAAAAAAAAAAAAAAAAAAAAAAAAAAAAAAGGAGAGAAATAGGCAGGATTTATTTTCCTTCAGAACACAGTTGGAGGGATGAACACTGGTCCATCCTTTGGTTTTATTAGGGGGAAGCCTAACTCGCCTAAATCTTATTTGTCCTTACATACTAGGCATGTGAATGATAGCAAACAACAGCTGTCATGAATAACGGTGCTACATTACTCACACTAGAACGGTATCTAGCTCACGGTAGGTATTTCATAAATGTTTGTTGAATGAATCAATGAATCAATGACTAAAAGTATAAAGTGCAGTCGTGTTACGGAAACTTTATCTTACTGTTCAGTGCTTTTCCAAGTACGGTGTTGCTAATAATGCCTTGAGACCACTTGTGAACAGAATGAAATATGCTTTTTCTATTTGTAAAATCTCTTCACAAACAAAAATGCCTTTGAAAACGTAAGTTGACTGACTGCCTGGAATGATGAATGATGTGGATACTGATCACATGTGGCATCCATTTCTTTTTGTCCCCTTCTGGCGTGACAGAAAGCAGTGGTGGCCAATGGAGCCAAGGCCAAAGGCCAAAAGCTGAATTCCTTTACAGCTGCTCAGCTTTGTAAGGAAAGACACGGTCTTAGCCATCTACATCCCTAGCTTAGCTAGTGTGGCACAAACGTGTGCCCTTGTAGAGGAAGGGAGTTCCAGGCCTGTGATTAGCCTGGTACAATTGCACTCCTACGAAAAAAAAAAAAAAAAAAAAACAATCAAAATCTCCCTCCAGCTGTTAAGACAGGTCACAATGTCATCTCTGCTCATGAAAAATAACCAGTTTGGAAAATGCTAGTCTAAACCACTCTCCAGAATCTAGACCTCTAATGAGTTATGGAGGCCCTGTTAGACAACAGGAAGGCCGGCATTGCTCATGACAGGAACTTCCTGCTCCAGGGCTTTCGCCAAGTTCCAGCAAAACTGAATTCTTTTCTCTAGGTTGAAAACAAATTCCTTGGAGTAAGGGTGGTCACGTGCTCAGGCCCTGGTAATACTTGATACACCCAAGCTGTATTCACCTGCAACCCATTTTTACCTAATCTTATATTTCTTTACTTTGAAACAAAAACAAGCTCACCAACAATGACCATTTTAATTTACCCCCTCTGTCTGGGAGTGCTCAGCAGCGGCACAGCCATGCCTGGTTGTGCCCAAGAGGCAGGATGGTGTAGTGAGACATGGGACCTCCAGGTTTAAAACCTCTCTCTGGAAAATGCTATGAGACTCCTTGGAAAGTCACTTGACTTCTCTGAACCCTAATTTCCTCTGGCAAAATAGAGATTATAATACCTATCCCTTAGAAGTACTGTGAGGATGGCTGGGAAGCATTGTGAAATAGCGGTGGTTAAGACGTGTAGTACACAGTTTTACTGTCTCGCTTACCAGCATCATCTCTGGATTTCATAAGTCACCGAAACACTGGACCGGGAGCCACCTGGTGAAGAACGTTCATGTGCAAGTCGTCCTCCCTTCCATCACTGTCTCCCTGGGTCAGGAGGACAATGGCATGCCTTCCCTGGAAGCCACTCCACAGGTCCAGGATGGACCCACCCAGCCTTCTGCTTCCTCTCATTTTCTCTTTGGCCAATTGCCAAGCTTCCCCAGTTGTCCTGGACTTCAGAATCTTTCTCACCACCCTCTTTGAACTGGCTACTAGGTCCTGTCAATTCTCTCCCTTCTAAACGTATTGAGACCCCATCTTTCTATCACTGTAGCCTCCCTTTATCTTCTCTTGCCTGAACCAGTGTAAAAGCTTCCCGCTTTTCCTACTGCTCCCCTCTCATCCTTGACTCCCAGCACCACTCCTTCAGTGGACCTTGTCAGACACAATGAGAAGCCCTCTGACGTTGATGAGATCTGGGAGATCATGGATAGACTGTGCCTGATGGTGGAGGGGAAGATAAACAACAGGACAGAGAGGAACAGCTCATTGGTGGAAATGCCTTCTCTGAAGGCCCGCAGGGCAAAGGTACCCAAAGCACAGTCATCACTGGTGTTGATATTGTCATGAACCATCACTTGCAGGAAACCAACTTTGCAGAGGAAGCCTACAAGTACATCAGTGAGGCGTGGTGGTTCATGCCTGTCATCCCAGTACTTTGGGAGGCTGAGGTGAGAGGATTGCTTAAGCCTATGAATTTGAGACCAGCATGAGCAACATAAAGAGACCCAGTCTGTACCAAAAAAAAAAAAAAAAAAAGTTGGCCATGATGATCATACCTGTGGTCCCAGCTACTAGGGAGGCTGAGGTGGGTGGATTCCTTGAGCCCAGGAGGTCAAGGCTGCAGTGAGCCATGATCACATCACTGCACTCCAGCCTGGTCCACAGAGTGAGACTCTATCTTGAGAAGAAAACAAACAAACAAAAAAGAAGTACTTTAAAGATGACATGAAATCAGTGAAAGGTGAATTTGAAGAAGAGAGATCAGAAAG